AACGAAAAACCGAAATATCCCAAAGTTCAAAATCGAGAAAGAAGAAAGAGAAAAAGCCAAAAAAATCGAGAAATTGGAAAATCTAAAATTGAAAAATCGAAAAAGCGAAAATTCGAAGAATCGAAATATTGAAAAATTGAGAGTCGAAAATTGAAAAATCCAAAATTTTGTTTTTCAATTACGTTCCCCAACAAGCGGGAGGCCCAGTTACAGGGGAAATCGAGAAATTGAAAAATCGCAAAGTCGAAGAACAGAAAAATCTATAAATCGAAAAATCGATAAAGCGAGAACTTGAAAAATCGAAAAATTCAAAAATCGAAAATTCGAAAAATTGAGACATTAAAATCACAAAGTCGAAAAATAAAAAATCCAATAATCGAAAAATCGAAAAGTGAGAAGTCGAAAATCGAAGAATCGCGATATCGAAAAGCTAAGAAATCGAAAAATCGAGAAACTGATAAATCAAAAAGTCGAAAATTCCAAAAATTGAGAAAGCGAAAAATTGAAAAAAAAAATTCCAGAAATCGAAACACTGAAAAATCAAAAAGTCGAAAAGTCAAAGCGTCGAAAATCGGAAAATCAAAAAATCAAAAACTTCAAAAATCAAATAATCAAGAAATTGAAAAATCGAAGTTGACAAATAGAGAAATAAAAAAATCAAAAAGTGAAAAAATCCAAAAATCAAGGTATATATTTAGAATAGAAATTAAATGACTTATTATATCGAAAAGTAAAAAAATCGAGAAAATAGAAGAATCGAAAACGTAGAACAGTAAAAATCGGGAAATTGAAATATCAAAAAGTCGTACAGACGACAAATGAAAAAATCCAAGAAACGACAAACTGAAAAATCGACGTAGAAAATTTGAATATTCCAAAAGTCCAAAAGTCGAAATATCCAAAAATTGAAATTGAGAGAAAAGTTGAAAAATCGAAAAATCGAGAAATTGAAAAATCAAAAATTTCAAAATTCTAATAATTGAGAAAGCGGGAAATTGAAACGGAAAATCGAAAAATCGAAACACTGAAAAATCGAAAACTCGAAGAGCCAGAGTCAAAAAATCAAGAAATTCAAAAATCAAAAAGTCGAAAATTCTAAAACAGAAGTCAGAAAATTCAATAATCGGAAAATTGCAAAATCGAATAGTCAAAATATTGAAATAACAAAAAATTGAAGTCGAAAAATCTAAACATCCCACAGTTCAAAAATCGATGAAGAAAAATCGAGAAATCAAGGAACTGTAAAATCGAAGTCGAAAAATAGAAAAATCTAAAAATCGAAAAGTGGAAAAATTCAAAAATAGCGATATCGAAAAGTTGAAAAATCGAAAAATCCAGAAATTCAAAAACCAAGAAGTCGAAAATTCAAAAACTGAGAAATCGAAAAACTGAAAAGGAAAATCGAAACACTGAAAAATCGGAAAATCCAAAAATTGGAAAATTGCAAAATCGAAAATTCGACATATTAAAATAACGAAAAATTGAAATATCCCAAAGTTCAAAAATCGAGAAAGAAGAAAGAAAAAGACAGAGAAATCGAAAAATTGGAAAATCTGAAATTGAAAAACGAAAAAGCGAAAATTTAAAGAATCGAAATATTGAAAAATTAAGAGTCTAAAATCGAAAAATCCAATTTTTTGTTCAATTACCTTCCCCCCTTACAGGGAAAAATCGAGAAATTGAAAAATTGCAAAGTCGAAGAATAGAAAAATCCAAAAATCGAAAAATCGATAAAGCGAGAACTTAAAAAATCAAAAAATTCAAAAATCGAAAATGCGAAAAGTCGAGAAATTAAAACCACAAAGTCGAAAAATAAAAAAATCCAATAATGGAAAAGTCGAAAAATCGAAAAGTGAGAGTCCAAAAATCGAAAAATCGCGATATCGAGAAGCTGAGAAATCGAAAAATCGATCAAAAAGTCGAAAATTCCAAAATTGGAGAAATCGAAAAATTGGAAAGGAAAATCGAAAAATTGGAAAGGAAAATCGAAAAATCGAAACACTGAAAAATCAAAAAGTCGAAAAGTCAAAGTGCCGAAAAATCGGAAAATCCAAAATTCAAAAGTTGCAAAATCGAAAAGTCAAAAAATTGAAATAACGAAAGATCAAAATATCCCAAAATTCAAAAATCGAGAAATCAAGAAACTGAAAAATCGAAGACGACAATTGGAAAAATTAAAAAATCGAAAAGTGGTAGAATCCAAAAATCGAGGTATATATTTAGAACAGTATATCGGAAAGTCCAAAAATCGAAAAATTGAAACATTTGAAAATAAAAGAATCTAAAACGGAGAACAGTAAAAATTAAAGATTTCAAAATTCCACAGTTGAGAAATCGGGAAATTGAAACGGAAAATGGAAACACTGAAAAATCGAAAAATCGAAAATTCAAAAAATGACGATATCGAAAAGTTGAAGAATCGAAAAATCGAAAAATCGAGAACTTTTAAAATGAAAAAGTCGAAAATTCAAAAACTGAGAAATCAAAAAATCCAAAAATCTGAAAATTCCAAAATCGAAAAGTCAAAATATTGAAATAACAAAAAATGAAAGTCTAAAAATCAAAATATCCCAAAGTTCAAAAATCGAGATAGAAAAATCGAGAAATCACGAAACTGAAAAATCAAAGTCCAAAAATAGAAAAATCAAAAAGTGGAGAAATCCAAAAATCGAGGTATATATAGGACAATAACTAACTGACTTATTATATCGAAAAATCAAAAAACCCAGAAATTGAAATAGTTGAAGTAAAAATCGGGAAATGAAAAAATCGAAGAAACGACAAATTGAAAAATCGAAGGAGAAAAGTCGAAAATTCCAAAAATCGAGAAACTGAAAAATCAAAAAGTCCAAAATTTTAAAAATTGGGAAATTGAAAAGGAAAATCGAAAAATCGAAATACTGAAAAATCGCAAAATCGGAAAATCGAAAAGTCGAAAAATCAAAGAATTTTCGAAATTTATCGAGGTCAAAAAATTGTAATTTATAGATACCGATGTCCATGTCTATTTTTGAACTCAGAATTTTGAAAATCTGCATTATTTATTTCATAACAAATTTAAACCTAAAAATAAAAATTGTAATTTATTAACAAAGATTTCCATGTCAATCTCTGAAATCAAAATTTTGAAAAATTTTCTCTAGTTAGATGTAATTTTACCTGGAATTTATAGAAGTTCAACAAAATGGTAATTTGAAACGCGATTTTTATTTCAATTATAGAAACCAAAATTTGAAAAAAACTGCACTACTTATTTCGTAATAAATTTAATCCCTAATTATTACATTCAAAGAATTTTCCCTTAAATTCATAGGGGTTCAACAAAATATCAATCTAAAAATGGATTCTCCAAACATTCCTGAAATTCCCAGAAGTCAAAAAAATAGTAATTTATTAACAGAAATTTCCATCTCAATGTCGGAAACAAAATTTTGAATAATTTAATGAGTACACACATATAATTTTCTCTGAAATTCACTGAAGTTCAACCACATGGTAATTTAAAAAGTACGTTCATTTCCATGCTAAAAATAAAAATTTTAAAAAATCTTCGGTAAGTGTCCAACAAAACAGTAATTTGATGTTGGAAACCAAAATTTTGAAAATTCTGCATTAGTTATTTCGTAACAAATTTAATGTTTAATTTTCCCTGAAATTGATAGAACTCAAGAAAATAGTAATTTATTAACAAATATTTCCATCTTCATTTTTGAAATCAAAATTTTGAAAAATCTTCGCTATATTATTTCACAACACATATAATTTTCCCCGAAATTCATAGAAGTTCAAGAAAATAGTAATTCAAAAGGGATTTTTATTCCATCATTGAAACCAGAATTTGGAAAAAAACGCACTACTTATTTCATAAAACACGGAATGCCTAATTTTTTAAATCTTGCACATATATTCTTGGAAACAAGCAGTTAAGAAAAGTATTTTCAAGCCAAATTTTCCTGTTTATTTCATAAAATTGACGAGAGTTTTAGTTCAAATTCGGAATATAACATCATCTTTACAAAAAAGATGGTAATTTTTTTAACTTTTCGGTATAAGCAAAATCAGTAGATGTTTTTTCACAAAGAATAAGGGTTTCATACGACAAATAGTAGGTACGTCGATAATTAAGAAAAAATCGTACTAGGGCTATTATTTAGAACAAAAGTCCTGATGACGTCATCAATGGCCACGATTTTGAATTTCACAAAATTTTGAAATAGAATCAGCGAACTTTTGGTGGGGACGAGAACACAAATTTTGCAAAAAAATAATGTTTTTAGTTTGTTTGCTCCCAAAATATTAAAAAAAAATGAACTGGACGATCTCGAAACAGTAACATCTAATTACAAAAAACGGAAGCTAATTCTGACATCAACATAGCCTCATTAACAAAAAAAAAAAAATAATCCGTTTTCGCGTTTCTTTTGAAAAAAAAACACTGTTGTCCAGCTTAAGTTATTAATAAAACTAGTTCTTATGTAATTAATTCCTTGTGCATAATCTTGTTTTTAGTAAAGTCATGCTTGAAAAATTATCTCTTAACGGTATGCTCCACATTTCTGATGCGTCTTGTATTAAAATCATAATAAAGTGCCAAAAACTAGGATTTCTTTCTGAACATTGTAAACTCCAATTTAAATAAATCAAAATAAAAAACGCAACTTATTTCCGTATTTCGCAACGTCGCATCAACAAAACGCAAACAGGTTGCCTTTAACAAAACCTAACATTAGGGAACCACATAACCCAAGATAATTCAAATCAACGTAAAAAAACAACTAAATCTCCCGATTCCGATATAAACAGCGCCTAATACCCCATTACCGATACATTATTATCAAAACACGCGTCACAATGCCGCCTGTTATCAGCACATCTGCCTGGCAAGGCCGGCCGGCACACCATATCCATGCAAATATCACCTTCCCGGTCACAAGGGTCAGTCCGGCAGATTTTTATGCAAATTCCCACACAACCCTGCTCTAGCTCCCGCAAAACCATACCTGGGGGTGCTCGTCGCCGACATCTTCCCGTATTGATCGTGTTTACACTGCACTTGCACCAAGTCTTTGCAGATTTCAGCACATCTGAGGGTTGTTTAGGGTTTTCGTTCGCTCACCCCGCAGCACGGGCATGCGCCACAGCCGCGTTTTCGGCAGAAACGCGAATTCTCGCCACTTCCTGGAGGAAGCTATCGAGCACTAGCCGATAATCCAGATAAAATTAGTCACCGATCTTGATATCACTAATAGTCGCAATAGCCGAAATTGGGCAATAATTTTCTCACGAGAATTGTGAGTTGGGCAATGTCGCGGAACCGCCGACTGGAAATGGAAGAACGCGTCGCACTGTTTTACAATAAATTTTATCACTAACTCTTATACGTTTTTGCCACCACTTTTTGCCGAAGGATGGCTGCGTGTGATCCTTGATGGTTTCCTAAGGCAAAATATTTAACCTGTTATCAGTTGACTAAACAAACGCGTAACAATGCGCCGTAAATTTTAAACTACAATAATAACGCTTAATTTGGACGAAAAGTCGAAAGCCACTGCTTTACAGCATATCGGATCGGTGATAAATGGCCTTCAGTGGCGCTATTCATGTTGGTTTCACGTTGTTGGTTACTGCAATTTACCTTGCAACGATGTTCGACGCGATAGCGTAATTAATTGGTTAGAAATAATGTAATTGGTGCAATTTTTATCGGTTTACGTCGGACGGGAAGCGGCTTCCGAGATGCGATAAGGCGGAAAGCTGCAGATCACTGGCGAGGTTTACAGTGGCAAATGAGTTTTGAATGTTCATTGAAAATTTTCAAATATTGTGTACTTTGTAACTGAACGTATGTTATCGATGCGTCACTGGTCGCCGTCAGCGATAATGTAAACAGATATATTAAGGTATTAAGATAAGGCGATTTACTAATTTTTTTTTAATTAAATAAATTACCCGAAACTAACGATTGCGGTTAAAATATTTTTTTGGATTTTTGTTGACGCATGTAGGTATGTTATAGATGTAAAATTTTCTAATTAGTAAAAACCACAAAACTATAAACTTAATTTCAAAAAATTATTCCCTTTGATTTTAACGCTCTTAGTAATACTGGTGAGTCAAAGGTGCACAAATATTTTATTGAATGATGTCAGCTTTTTGATCGAGATAATACTAATCATAGATTACTATTTTTTTAATTTTTTGGACGATTAGATAACTCGTTTCGCCTATATTTGCATTTTAAAATATGTCGATTCATATGCATTATATGGGGATTGAATAATTATTTGGTGACGTCATTGAGTTTTTCGAAGGGATTAATGTTGTAATGCTAAACCATGTCGATGCCTTTACTACGAGCACAGAAGACAGAAAGACAGAAACAAAGAAGGAAGAGAAAAAGACACAAAAATCGAGAAATTGGAGAATCTAAAATTGAAACATCTAAAAAGCGGAAACTCAAAGTCAAGAAATCGAGAAATTGAAAAATTAAAAAGTCGAAAAATAGAAAAATCCAATAAGTGAAAAGTCCAAAATTCGAAAAATCGCGATATCGAAAAGTTGAGAAATCGAAAAACCGAGAAACTGAAAAATAAAAAAGTAAATTCAGGAGGAAAATCAAAAATCCAAGGACTGAAAAATCGTAATGTCGAAGAATGAAATAACCAAAAGTCGAAGTCTAAAAATCGAAAAACCGAAATATCCAAAAGATCAAAAATCGAGAAATAAAAATCGAGAAATCAAGAAACTGAAAAATCGCAAAGTCGAAGAATAAAAAAATCCAACAATCGAAAAGTCGAAAATCGAAAAATCCGAAAATCGACAAACTGGAAAATCAAAAAATCGGAAAATTCAAAAATCGGAAAGTTGCAAAATCGAAAAGTCGAAAAATTGAAATAACGAAAAATCGACGTCGATATCCAAAAATCCAAAACACAGAAATCAAAAACTGAAAAACCGAAGACGAAAAGTAGAAAAATCCAAAAACCGAAATGTAGAAAAACTCAAAAGTCGAAATATCGAAAATTTTTAAACTGAAGTTCGAAAATTCGAAAGATAGCTGCACCTGATAGTTAAAAAATCGAAAAGTCAAAAAACTAAAGAATCAAATGTCTAAAATTCCAGAAATTGAGAAATCGAAAAATTGAAAAGGAAAATCGAAATACTGAAAAATCGAAAAGCTGGAAAGTCTAAGAATCGAAAAATCGGAATATCCAAAAATCGGAAAATTGCTAAACCATGTCGATGCTTTTACTACGAGCACAGAAGACAGAAAGACAGAAACAAAGAAGGAAGAGAAAAAGACAGAAAAATAGAAAAATCTAAAATTGAAACATCTAAAAAGCGGTAACTCAAAGAATAGGAAAATCCAAAAATCGAAAATTCGAAAAATCGAGAAATTGAAAAATCAAAAAGTCGAAAAATAGAAAAATCCAATAAGCGAAAAGTCCAAAATTCGAAAAATCCAAAAGATCAAACATCGAGAAATAAAAATCGAGAAATCAAGAAACTGAAAAATCACAAAGTCGAAGAATAGAAATATCCAAAAATTAAAAAAGCGAGAACTTCAAAAATCTAAAAATTGAGAAATCGAAAATTCAAAAAATCAAGCAATTGAACGATCACAAAGTCGAAGAATAGAAAAATGCAACAATCGAAAATGTAGAAAAACTCAAAAATCGAAATATCGAAAAGTTCAAAAATCGAAAAATTAGGAAATTGAAACATCAAAAATTCGAAAATTTTGAAACTGAAAGTCGAAAATCGAAAAATCGTGAACTGAAAAATCGAAAATTCAAATAATAGCTATACTTTTTGATTTCTAGATTTTAGAACTTTTGGATATTTCGATTTTTCGTTATTTCAATGTTTCGACTTTTTAATTTTGAAATTTTTCGATTTTTGAACTCTTTGACTTTCCAACTTTTTGATTTTTCTGTTTTTCGATTTTTCGTTTTTCTTTTTCAATTTTTCGAGTTTTTTTTCGTTTCTCGATTTTTCGTATGTTCGATTTCTTGATTTTCACTTTTTCAATTTCCGATTTTCCTATTCTTCGACTTTGCGGTTTTCCAATTTCTCGATATTTCCATTTTTGGATTTTTCGGTTTTCGAGCTTCAATTTTTCAATATTTCGATTTTTACATTTTTCGTCCTTTCAATTTTTCAATTTTAGAATTTCCACTTTTTCGATTTTTCATTTTGCTTATCTGTTTCTTCTTTGTTTCTGTTTTTGTTCCGAGTTTCCATATTTCTGTTTTTCTGTCTTTCTGTGTCCTGTGATCGAAGTGAAAGCACCGACAGGATTTACCATTACAAAACATTATTCATCCCTTCGAGAAACTGAATGACGTCACCAAATAATTATTCAATCCCACAAAATGCATATGAATCGACATATTTTAAAATGCAAATATAGACCAAACGAGTCATCTAATAGTATAAAATATTTAAAAAACAGTAACTCGTAGTATTACCTCCATCCAAAAGCTGATTTCATTCAAATACATTATTTGTGTACCTTTTGATTCAGCGGTGATAAAAAGAGCGTTAAAATCAAAGGGAATAATTTTTAATAGCTTTGGTTGTAGACACCGAACGTAGTAAAACCCGGAAATATGGGGAGAAATTTCGTTATTTCCACTTTTAGATTTAGATTTTTCAACTTCTCGATTTTTCGACTTCTCAGTTTTTCGCTTCTCCGATATTTCAAATGTTCGATTTTTCGGTTTTTCGATGTCTCAATTTTTGGATATTTTGATTTTTCAATTTTTGGGATTTTCGATCTTTCGATTTCGATTTTTCAATTTGTTGATACTTCGATTTTTCATTTTTCGATTTTATGACTTCGATTTTTCGGTTTCTCGATTTTTGATCTTTTCCATTTTCGGTTTTTCAGTTTACAAATATTTCAACCTCACGATTTTTTGATTTTTCGACTTATCGATTTTTCAACTTCTCGATTTTTCGACTTTTCGGTTTTTGGATTTTTCGACTCTTCGATATTTTGCTTTTCTAACATTTCTTGTTAATTTCCCGATTTCTCAATTTTCGATAATTGGATTTTTCTTCGATTCTTTTATTTTTCGATTTTACGAGTTTTCGATTTCGCAATTTCTCGATTTTTACTGTTTTCCATTTTTGATTTTTCAATTTTCGAGTATTTAAATTTATCGATTTTTGGACTTTTTGATATAATAAGTCGTTTAGTTATTGTTCTATATATATATATATCTCGATTTTTGGGTTTTTCGATTTTTCGACTTTTTAACATTTCGACTTTTCGATTTTTCGTTTTTCCTTTTCAGTTTTTCGATTTCTCAATTTTTGGAATTTTCGAGTTTTCGATTTTTCTATTCTTCGACTTTGTGTCTTTTCAATTTCTCGATTTTTTGATTTTTAGATTTTTCAAATTCTCGCTTTTTTAATTTTTGGAATTTTCAGTTTCTTGATTTCTCGATTTTCTTTCTCGATTTTTGAACTTTTGGATATTTCGGTTTTTCGATTTTTCGACTTTGATTTTTCGTTATTTCAGTTTTTCGAATGTTCGATTTTGCATCTTTCGAATTTTTGGATTTTTCCACATTTCGATTTTTGGATTTCTCTATTTTTCTACTTCGATTTTTCAGTTCCTTGATTTTCGATTTTTGACATCTTGGATATTTCGATTTTTCGAGTTTTTGATTATGCAACTTTCCGATTTTTGGATATTCCGATTTTTCGATCCTTTGACTTTCCGACTTTTCGATTTTTCAGATTTCGAATTTCCTTTTCAATTTTTCGATTTATCAATTTCTGGAATTTTCGAGATTTGATTCTTCATTTGATTCTTTAGTTTCCTGACTTTTCGGATAGAATTCGAAGAATCCAAAAATCGAAAAGTGGAAAAATCCAAAAATTGAAATATCGAAAAGTTCAAAAATCGGAGAATTAGAAAATTGAAAAATCAAAAAGTCGAAAATTCCAAAACAGAGAAGTAGAAAACCGAAAAATGGTAAATTGAAAAGGCGGTAATTTAAAAAATAGCGATATCGAATAGCGAAAATCGAAAAATCAAGAAACTGAAGAATCAAAAAATTGAAATTTCCGAAAATTGAGAAATCGAAAAATTTAAAAGGAAAATCGAAACACCGAAAAATCGAAAAGTCAGAAAGTCAGAGTTGAAAAATCGGAAAATCCAAAAATCGGAAAGTTCCAAAATCGAAAAGTCGAAAAATTGAACTAACAAAAATCAAAGTCGAAAAGTCGAAAAATAGAAATATCTAAAAGTTCAAAAGTCGCGAAAATTCGAAAAATCCAAAAATTAAGATATCTAAAAACTCACAAATCTAAAAATCGAAATAACGAAAAATCGAAATATCGAAAAGTCGAAAAATCGAGTAATCAAACAGTGAAGTGGTAAGAAATGGAAAAATCAAGATGTAGAAAATTGAAAAATCGAAACATCGAGAAATTGAAATAACCGAAAAGTCGAAAAAACAAAAATCAAAAATTCAAAAATTCGATTAATCGAAATATTGAATAATAGAAAAATCGAGAAATTGAAATATCTAACAATTAAAAAATCGAGTCCAAAATTCCACAAATTGAGAAATCGAAAAATTGACAA